GGGGCCACCATTGAAAGTCTGCAGTTTGTGCAGTATGTGAGGATAGTTTCAGCACGGCTTTCAGGATAGACTGTGTACAGACCCCTTTGGTGGTGTGACAACTGAATTCAAGTTATCTGGAAGTTAGATCTTCAAGTTATTCAAGTTATCTGGTAGTTTATCAGTGACAGTGCATTTTGAAGGAGTTGGGGCAGGAGGTTTTTTTTTTTACCGTTCCTGGTGGAACTACTTCCATCATCATAATCAGGCTGTGTTTCAGCTGATATAATAATATGAAACCAAAGAAGAGAAGAACTCAGCAAACCAGAATGTAAATCAGAAAACTGTATATGCATAGTGATAACTTGTATCCTGTGGGATGTACTGAAATGTAAAGTTCAGCATTTTCAAGGCTGGTGACAGCTATAGCGCAATAGTGCTGGAGCAACTGATGAGCTTGATGAAAGACCTTTATAACATTATTTTCTTCATATAATGTGGTATTGCATGAGCTGACATATGTGTACATCTTGTTATCTGTCATATATCCTTTTTTTTTCTGTAAGTTTTTCTTCCAATCATGCTGTCATGATTGACATGACTCAAGCATTTATTCACCTAACTACTTGCAGCCATTGCAGGATTTGCTCTCCTTTACAAGCAAAAGGCAAAATAATTGTAAATAAATAAAGACAAGAACCAGGCAAGCTACCGCTTTGCCCAAGGAAATAGGTTGCTTTCCCTAGGTTCTGAGCTCTCTTACTTAAAAAGTAGGTAAAAGGGCACTGCGGTTTTCAGTCTCTCTGTTAAGATACTGCAGTAATGAGAGTCATTATGAGAAATCCAGATGGTAAAATGGACACACCTGGGGTTTCCATTCCTCATTTTCCAAACTGACTGTTATCTTTTCTATTTCCTGGATATCTAAGAGATCATCGGCAATCGATCTCTCTACTTTGATGCCAAGGGACAGAAAATGTCAGAGAAAAGGGGCTTCTTTTCACATACAGGGAACTTAGACATATATTGAAGAGGGCTGTTCCACTTGGTATCTGAAAAAGTTGTTAGATATCTAAGTCAGACTGATTCATTCCCACTTACAGTAAGTGCAGGGAAAAGGAATACAGCAAAAAATCTCATGTCCTCGAGCACTGGAGTGTACAGACTTTGAGCTATGTTTTCTTCTTTTCTATTTTGTTTTCTTTTTGTCTACTCATGCCTATACAGATATGCATACAGGTATACACAATCACCAAACTGCTTTGCTCAGCCCTATAAAGAGTGTTAAAGTAGAAAAATTTCAACGAGGTGTAAGAAGGCAAAAATCATTTGACCTTTTTGATTTTAAGCAGCCTCACACTTGACATATTAACTCCAAAGTGTATAATATATTTACACCACTGCTAAGCCTTGGGAAATCATGGTCAGTGGCAGTGACTGTAAGACCCAGTAGCTTCCCATCCTCACAGGATTTAAGGAAGATTCATGTGTTTTCTGTGAGTGTTCTGTCAAAGATGCAGATTGTGTGGCTAATATCAGTATGTGTTGGTTATTTGTTTTGGCTTCTTTAAAGAGAATTATTTTTCAGTAGTTTGAAAGTAAAATTCATCATAAGTCTGGTGACTTCAGAGCAAGTGCTCTGGGTCAACAGTTAAATACTGAAATATTCTGAGTGCCATGAGAGCACTCAGAACTTCAGAAGATAAGTACTTCGTTATGCTGCAGATGAGGGAATAATTTGACCTTATTGCTTTAGCATTCTGTATATCTTTGATTTAAATGAGTAGGAAATCTTAAAATAGGAGGTAAAGGGTCAGGGGTTAAACTCATGATGTAATTAAAGTTGCAGTCTTAGGGTTTGCCCTTTAAATGTTTCTGTAAGTTAAGGCTGAAATGATTTAATACACACGTCTATATTTGGGTAAATTCTGATGGTATGAATTCCGAAATGTGAGCATTAGCCTTGTAGTTGAGTTACCTTAAGATGAAAGGTTTTGATATGCTACGAGAAAAACAAGCTGCTTTTGAGTTAATGGACCCCATGTACAAGTCAATCATTCTGATGCCGTGTTGTTTGAAGCTGTGTCTCTGTTAATTTTTCAGAGAAGATTGAGGTTAATGACATGTTAAGATAGCCTTCAGTTCTGGCAGGGCTTGAAGCAAATATTAGTTTAGTACTGTCAGAAAGTACAAAGATAATGACATGCTAAGTGACAGAGGAATACTCTCAGCAGTCAGTGAGTTTGAAGTTAGAGCTTTGTATCCTTGTATCCTCTGCCCTACCGTCTCTCTCCTCTACTCCCTGGTACCCTGACCCGGGGTCCAAGGGGGAGTCTCACTAGCTATGGCAGACACTGTCAGAGCACAACTCTGTAAAGCTTTTTCAGACCTATGACAGACCAAAAGCTCACTTCTACTAATGCAAACTTTGAGCCTCTACTGCCATTTTCATCTCTTTCTAGTCTCAAAAGCATCGGGGCACAGCTGCAATGTAGAGAGCAGAAAAAGTGTGTGTGTGCACCCGTGTGCTTTTTTTCTATATAATTTGTAGATAAAAGAGAAGATGAATCTAAGACTACAATAACCAGTGAGGTTTGGGGTTGGAAAAGGGTCTCATTTTCCCCACTGACATGACAGACGGGAGAAAACAGATATGGATTTCAAGCCCCAGTCCACACTGGACAGGAATAGTGAAGCGATCTGGGCACGTGGGCATCCCCAGGAGGGCTCTGCGCAATGATCAGCCTGGAGGTGACAGATCACCAGAGGTACCTTGGAGGCTTCCAGCATTGGGAAAGACCTGACAGAGCAGTTGTGGGCATAGCCAGAGAGTCCTCTGAGAAAAAGTATGCCCAGGTTGTGTTTCTTTTCCTGACCACAGTGGACACTGGGCACAGTGTACAGACCACCTGCTTGTCCTTGCACCTTACTGTCCGCCCAGCTATACGTACCTTCAGTATATTCTCAGTTGGGTTCATTACCTCCTTAGTAATTTTAAACCCATATGCCTCTGTATGCCTGCACACACTACACAAGGGCATTACTTTATGTTTGTACCTTGGAATAAAGAAGAGGAAAGCAGAAAAGAACTTGCTCAGGAGCTGCTCGGCTCACAACCCCTGGTCACAAGCATCTTCCATAGGCCTGTGGGGAGGACTGTGAGGACGGCTGCTCCCTCTGCATGGGGTCGTGAGGGTGGGTGGGCTAGCTCAGGCATCCCACAGCCCTGCTCTAAAACAGACTCCGTACCAGCCTCACCCAGTGCCAAGCCAAGCGTGAATGTTCGAGTGCGTGGGAAGGGAGAAAAGGGATTTCCGCCTGTTGACTCCACATACCTGCTCAGAATCCGGCACAGCTTCTCGAGGTCAGAAATACGCTATGGCCAAGCAGGGATTGTTTCCCTAAGGGGATGTGATTACAATCCCAAACACTGAACTCCAGTCTTGACTTTCCACCCCATTTAACATGAATAAGTGGCCACCTCCCAAAGTAATTCTCTCATTCAACTAATTAATGCTTCAGGCCCCTGTTTTACAGCCCACACACATAGCAGCTCTTATACATGGACACAGTCTCGTTGAACAAACATGAGTTGTTTTACATACAGAACAGCTAAAAAATGTACAAAATACACAATGTCTTCATTAGAAAGAAGGAGAAAAAAATCCATGATCTATGGATTTTATTTATGGATTTAGATCCACAGACTACCATTTCTTTGCAGCTTAATTTCATTCTAGTTTTCTTTTCCACTGATTCTGTGCATTTAATTTTTTGCTCCACTTCTTTCCCTCCCAAGGCTCTAAACATAGCTCATTTCAACTCAGTCATACACTGTTCTCACATGCTTTACCTGTTTTCTGTCAACTTCTCTTCTTAGCTATTCCTGTTTTTTCCACCTGGCAATGAGGTCATTCTGCTGTCGTAAGACTTCTTTCAAACATCTTTTCCTCCCTCCAGTTGCCATCTATTCCTCCAGTCTTCAGATACATTTTGGACGAGTGTTTTCCTTCTGTATTCCTCCTATAGGAGCATCACTCAAAACACCTCGCTAATGTGGGTTGAGTTTGTACTTGGTTATTGAGCTATGGACCAAAGGTAGTCCATAAGTGATGCTGCCAATACCTTTTTTTTTTTTTTTTGGATTGACATTGGTTAATTACACTTATATGGCTTCATTGTACCAGTCTAATGAGCTATCTTGGTCTGGGAAAGACTTTAGAGTCTGGTATTGTAAAATAAAGAAACAAGCTTAAAATGAAAGACCTTACAGTCTTCTGATAAAATACAGAAACACATCAGAGGACTGAAAATATGGAAATGCACACCAGAAGAGGTTTTAGAAATTCTCTTCTAGTGTTTCCTCTCTTGGGGCCCTGTGCTGCCAACTCTTCCATTTTCCTGTAAAGAGAGTACACTTGTTTGCACATGTGAATGTAGAACTGAGCCTTAAGACATTAAGCTCTTTGGAGTAGGTATATTTGTTACTCTACGCAGTCATATTTCCAACCTTCTCTTTAAGAAAACATATCTTTTCTTTCTCATTTACTTGCCCATTTTATCTTATAACTCTAACTTCTCTGTGTCCTGTTCACCATTTCCTTCAGAGAGTCACAATTATGCCATGGTTCTCTCTTCCCTATAAAATGGAGATTAAGCAGTGAGAGACGAGAGAGCATTTCCATCTTGCTCACAGCTGGCACTTAAAGCTACCCGACAGGAGCGTTTGTGTCTGACTCTTCCTTGTTTATCTAATCATTTGCTCTAACGAATCGTTGCCCATGGGCTGTTTACGTACAAACAGGTTTTATGAAAAATCACACCCTGTTTATAGCAATTCATTAACTGGAAAGAGGCTATCTTAGCTAATTGAATTGTTATGTTTAAAGTGTTTCGTTCTGCTCTGGCCAGAAGCAAAGATCCATCAGTAAGAGCACAACCTGGTGAACTTCTTGTAGCTTAATTTTGTATAGCTCTTGTTCGAGGAAGAGGCCTGTAAGGGTTTTTGCCTTTTTTCACAGGTGCCGCCAGTGCTTCTGGACAAGCAGTTTTCAGAATTTACGCCGGATATCACACCCATTATTCTGGCTGCCCACACCAACAATTATGAAATCATAAAGCTCCTTGTGCAGAAAGGGGTCTCTGTGCCCAGGCCACACGAGGTCCGCTGCAACTGCGTCGAATGCGTCTCAAGTTCAGATGTGGACAGCCTCCGCCACTCTCGATCCAGACTCAATATCTACAAGGCCCTGGCAAGCCCATCGTTGATTGCTTTGTCCAGTGAGGATCCTTTCCTTACCGCTTTTCAACTGAGCTGGGAGCTGCAGGAGCTGAGTAAAGTCGAAAATGAATTTAAGTCGGAGTATGAGGAACTGTCACGGCAGTGCAAGCAATTTGCAAAAGATCTCCTGGATCAGACACGGAGTTCCAGGGAATTGGAAATTATTCTTAATTACAGAGATGATAATAGCTTGATAGAAGAACAAAGTGGTAATGATCTTGCAAGATTGAAACTGGCAATTAAGTACCGTCAAAAAGAGGTGAGTGTGCTGGAGAATATTTAAGCATATTTAGTAGTAGTAATGTGATAGGTAATAGCCTGAAATACATCCTTTTAACTGAGACAAATTGCTGCTTATCTTTTTTTGTTCTACAGGGTCTCTTCTTTTTTTATATTTTTAATTGGATGAATTTGAATAGCTGTTATAGTTTGATAGTATCAAAATTTAAAATGTTCTGTTATAGCACAGATCCAAAGAAACTTTTTTCTTTTGCCCCTGAATAGACATAGTCTCCAGTAGTTGTGCTCTGAAAAGCTCATCGGTAATAGAATGAGAAATATACACAGCGTGCTTCACAGACAGAAAAAGGAGGCTATGTGTTTAAACACCTATAAAATACTACAGGTACCTCTATAAAGAGGTTTCTTCAAAAAACAGCTGTTATAAATAGATAGTGAAACATAAGACTAATAGCAATGCATGACATCCCAGAACATTGAGATTCAGATTCTTTTTCGTAAAGAATCCAAAATGGAGATACCTGGGTATTGCGTTCCATGACAGCTAAAAATTCATGAATTTGCTTCACTAATACAGATGTTCAACTGGAATCAGAGGATGCCTGCATTTCTTATAAAAATACTCAAGTTCTTATGTGCATGCAAAAGCAAAAGAAGCAAGACAGAAAAATTAGTTAGGAAGACAGTTTCCCTGATAGTTCCAAAACTTCACTCGGTCCCCGCTCATCATCATGTCAGAATGTGTTTTATTCATCTCATTTGGAACCTGTACATCTGAAATTAACTGAACTGTGGAAGTGCATAGGCAAGACAAATGCCATTAATAATTAAATGTTACTTGTTCATATAAAATATGGCAAATGCTTAAGAAACTTCTGTGTTATATTGAGCTAATCTGTCTATCACTGCTAAATCTCTGTTTTGCAAAATAGAATAGTAAATGCATTAATATATTAAGTATGTTAGAAAGGTTTGCAGGAACAATAACCAAGCATGTAATGATTCTGTTGTCCATTTGAAATACAATTTAGTAATGCTAAGAACTTACCATGAAGATAGGGACCAACGGAATTATTGCTTTAAAAATATCTCAATTAGTCTCTGACTTCCTAAGTCTTCTAATAAGCATTTTTTCCTTCAGGAAATGTATTGCATATAATGTTTTAGGCAACATATTCACTGCATCCATAAATTATTTTCACATGGTACTATTCCAGACTTTTCTTAACAACTGTTATTTCTATTTCTTGAAGTGCCAATCCTGCCTGACAGTCATTTAAGAAATTCTAGCTTGGACTTCTGTTTTCCATAGGATCTATGCATTGAAATAAAATTCTGGCCTCTCATGTTTTGGTTGGGTTTTTTTAACCTAAATGAAACACTTAAATTTTCTTAATTTGAGATAGAGACAGTGAGAGACATCTGTAGGGTGAAATGGTTTTTTATAGTTGCATCTGATTCCCATGCCTAGTTAAATTGCAGTAATACAGCTGATTACACTTCGTTGATTCTTCCTAATAGCAAATATTAAATCAATACAGATTTAGCGCAACAATTCCAAACCAGTGGATCTCTTATATTTTACATACATTTTTCCTTTCTATAAATATTTCCCACTATACATACCATTTCAGTCTTCCTGAAGTAAAATCAAGTTTTATTAGATTGTTTTGCTGTGTTCCAAAATGTATTCTCTAATAGATGATGGAGCAAATAGTAGCCACTGTAACTGATCAGTCCTTCTATACCAAATTATTACAACAGTATTCTGGCAGGTACAGCTCCAAGGTCAAGAAACTTACCTCAGGCATAACAAATGCTTGGATTCTGGCTGTCCTGGTGCAGATGGATCATGATGAAAATAGATCAGATGGGTCTTTCTGTTGCTTGTGTTGAGGATGCTAGAGGTGCCACTGAATCCAGCATCCTCTGGAGTCTGGGGATTCTTTCGGCCCAAGCAGTGGAGCACAGCCAGGAGCACCTGGAGACCCAGGGTCTTCATCCCAGGCACAAGCATACTGACCAGCCCTGCTTACACAAGATCAGCCCCTTGATTGACTTCTCCTCTCCATTTTGCCATGCTTGTTCCCCCCTGATCTTTCCCCACCCTTTACCCTTCCCCTAATCATCCCATAATAAATTTTACATAATTTCACAAGACCCCACCAATATCCTGTAAGAACTGTGAATTTCCTATAAGTCCCATGAACCCCCTCACACATCCCATAATACTTATAATAATGATGCTTTCCCCTCTGTATGATCACTTACAAAGTTGAGGTTGACCCTCCTCGAGTCAGTTGCAGCTGGTCCTTTCATGGCCCATTCGTCAGAGGCTAAAGTCTCGATCTTCGTCATTGTCTCTATTATACCCTGGTTTCTGTGTTGAATTTACCACTTTTCTTGTTGTTTTCTATTTCTGTTATACTAATTAACCCTTAACCAGATAATTAAATGAACAAATAATTCAATGGACCAGATGGTCTCACATTTCATATACCCTTACACTACGACTATCTAAGGTAAGCTTGATGGCAAGCAGCAGAGGCAGCTTATAAGTCTTATTTTAAAAACAGCAGGAAAAAAGTGTGGGCTGGATTTTAACTATCCCATTAATATATTATTTTGGATTTTAACTGTTTAAAAATACTGGTTTGCGGTAATACATCTGTTTCCTCTCCTATGAAGACAGGCTGAGAGTAGGGGTTGTTCAGCCTGGAGAAGAGAAGGGTCCGGGGAGACCTTGTTGAGGCCTTCCAGTACCTGAAGGGGGCCTACAGGAAAGATGAGGAGAGGCTCTTTATCAGGGAGTGAAGTGATAGGATGAGGGGTAGTGGTTTTAAACTGAAAAAGCATAGATTTAGATTAGATATTAGGAAGAAATTCTTCACTGTGAGGGTGGTGAGGCACTGGAACAGGTTGCCCAGGGAAGTTGTGGATGCCCCATCCTGGAAGTGTTCAAGGCCAGGCTGGATGGGGCTTTGAGCAACCTGGTGTAGAGGGAGGTGTCCCTGCCCATGTCAGGGGGGTTGGAACTGGATGATTAAGGTGCTTTCCAGCCTAGACCATTCTATGATTCTATGATTCCTCTGCCCTATGTGTCTTAAGCACCAAAAGTCAGTTCTCCACCAAAGACTTTTCTTTATGACAGGAGCAAACATGGATTTGTGGGGTTTTTGATGCTGTCAGTTCTAGTTATTATCTTTCTTTCTCTGAACTTGCCGGCTATCCTGCAAAATAATAACAAAAAAAAACCACCAAAAACATAACCCACCCCCAACAAAACAGTAAAACAGATAAGAATGCATTGTCTTCCTTTTTTATCCTACCACCCATCCCTAATATCTCAACCTTTATTTACGCTATTACCAAAGGACATTTTAATGCTATATTGGGGCTGAGGTCAGAGCTGAATGAGTAAGTAATCAGGTCTAGTTGTTCAGAACATCTACTCTAAGTCCAGAAATTGCAGCTAAAAGTAACAAAATAATGAAGAATGAGGACGGGTAAAATAGGAACATGTATACTTTTACATTGCTTTTACAATTAATTGCTCAGGACTTAAAGATTACTTTTTTCTTTCAAGTTGAAAATAGCACCAAAAATTACTGGCAATAATTCCTCTTGGCGTTAATAAGCAAGTGAGTACGAAACATGTTAGAACGCAACTTTGCGAAGGGCTGGAGTAAGCTTTGGAATATATGACTTGGTTACATCTCAAAGACACAAGATTGGCTACGAACAGCAGACTGAGAGTGCTTGTAGGAGAAGCAGACAAGTGAATGGTGAAGCATTTTCATTATGTAAAGAAAGGAAAATTGACAAACATGAGAAAAGATAATTACGAAGCTGGGAGTTGTTGAGGAGCTTCAAAATGACATAGTGTTTTATCAAATGTAGATCTAGAAATACCTTGTAGTGAGCAGAGGAAGGCTCTTAAAAGTGAAGAGATTAAGCAGTGCTTGGTGTAGTGGTCTACAAGCCCCTGGTACCACCTCTGTATTATCATCTATGGAAATAAAGAAAGAACATTCATTCTCAGAGCTGTCTGCATTGTTCATGGTCACCACAATGCCCCTGAAGTGGGCCTTTTCCACAAAACCAAACAGTTTATGCCAGTTGGATTTGAGGTTCTCCACAATGAAAGGTGCTGATCATCTGAATTTCCATTCCTTTCCCACTTGCCATAATACTGTGATCCTCATTCACGTACTGTCAAAAGGCAACGCAGCGGTATCAGTTCTCAGTCCATGGAGTCATGTCAGAGGGAACCTACTATGTATTACCAAGGAAGAAACTTCCCTGATAAAACCATCTATGTTCTTCCGTTAATAACTAATGAGGTTGAAAGAGACACAGTTTCAAGTTTACACTGCTGGCAAGACTGTGGGTAATATCTGTTTTGAGTTAGGTGGCAGAACCAGACGGTATCTGCCAGCATGTATGTTTTGTGTGCTCACCCACATTTTTTTTTAGCGTAGCACATGGGACAGAGTACCCAAGGTACCTTTTTTTTTTTTTTTTCCCCTGTTCATTTTGCAGCACTGATGCTGTTTGATTATAAGCAACGGCACGTTGCTGATGCTTGTGGTGCCTGTTTCTGACACCTACTGTTGCCTGGGCTACCACTAGCAGCAGAGAAGAGAGAAGCATTGGGCACAAACATTTCATTGTCTAATTACCTACTGCATAATATTATCTCAGCTAGGAGAGAGTTTGGTTTTATGAAGGCTGTCACTTATAATTTCACTGTGCTAGATTCTAGGCACACAGTGAGAAATAGTTTCCCATTTTCCTGAACTAAATAAAAATGTTATCTGATTCAACTGCCCTTTCATTCACAGATATGGAAGGGAATCCCTGAACCTGTATGTGATTCACAAGCAGAAGTTATGAGTTTAAGTAATTTGCAGACCCCTGGTCCAGCAATGCAATTAAGTAGCAGAGGATCATAGCAGTCTAATAATTAGTAAACAGTCATCTTTGTCACTAATTGCAAAATGCATTTTCTGACTCATA